ATCAGAATATATTATTTGTATTTAATTCACTAGATGTATATTTTAAAATTATAGTTAAATGTAATACAATGTTATTAAAAAAGTATAGTAATAATATGTAAATATCGGAAAAGAATAGTATAAAATAAAACCCTTAGCGTTAGGTCGTATCAAATTTTTATACAATATATTCTTACAATGTTTTTATAACAAGGTTGTTATAATCCGTTTGAAGAAGATACTATAGAAAGAATAATATCGTGTTTCTATTTTCATTTATTGATTTATTTGTTGATTCAATATCTCGTCTTAAATCAGTAATTCAATTTATATAATAATTTCAGTATTCGTTATATTATGATAATAATAATGTCTAGCAGGCAGATCTCATTATGGTTGAGTGCTTTTCAGAAGCAATAGAACCAATCGGAGATTAATATTACTAACACCCCGAAGAAGTGGTCAATGTTTTCATCAGAAAATCCGACCGTTTTCTTGACGTCTCCAGTCATTTTGAATCGTTTGAATCGAATTTGGAAAAATCATGTGTGTATGTGTATATGTGAGTCAATTTTTAACCCTTCGCCGACGTTCTTTTAAAAACGGCTGCATCAATTTCAGAAATTTAAAAGCCATTAGATGAAGGCCACTTGATAAGGACTTGCGTTAGTTACTTTTGAGAAATAAACGGACAAGTGTTTCATTAGGAACTACCAAGAAAGTGCAAAATTTTTCGTCCACATTTTGGCAAAAAATCCTAACCTGATTTTTAAATGTATCAAACTTTTCGCAATATATTAGTTGGTAATACTGCTGGTCAGTTAACATTACCCGTGACGTTTCTTTGTAGTAAATAGTGGAACTTACCAGTGATAAACTTCATGGTTTTAAACAACATCTAATTTTATACATCTCTAAAAACTAGTTTAATTATAAAAATTCATTAAAGTGAAATAATGACCACACATTCAAAGAGTACCTACTAAAAATAAATTCTTATTGACAAAGTGAATTATCTAAACATTAGGAATATCTTGCACATTAGGAATATCTTGCATATCTTGGGAAAAATTATACTTACACATAGCTCAATTTTATGAATAATTTTTTATGTAGATCATGTGCTATTGTAAGGTGACCATACGTCCTGGTTTGGCCCAGACAGTCCCGGGTTTTTTAAAAGCATCACTTGTCCCAGACTTAAAGGTTTTGTCCCGGATTATCCCGGGCTTTCGAAAAGTATAGGTTTGAATTGAATCTTCGCTTTTATTTGATAATAAAATTACAATTACTCATCAAATATCTGAAAGTGTAAGCTCACAATTACTCGCATATAAGTAAGACTGATGATTCTAAAATAATGTTGATCACTGAATTTTAAAATTAAACAGAAAGAAATACGAAAAGACAAAGTTTCGAAATCGTAATAGGATTAGAGTCGGAATCCGCTGGGCGTAATATGTACAAAGGAAACCAAAAAATAAATATTTGACAAAATTGAAGCGCGCCGTACGATGATACCAATAAAAAAAAACGAATGACTAGAGAATGTAAGTAGTTTCCATATAAATGGGACTTTTATCTGCGACGCGAATGGACAGATGAGCGCATATTGTTTTTTTGTCTCGATTTCCCGATCAAAATCAGGACACGAACGCTCTTTTAGTAGAGGATTATTAAGCTGCCAACGATGTAGCTCTGAACTCTTGTCGATGTTCTTATGATGACGCGCAAAAACGTGCACCATGCTCGCCTGCACATACAGCAAAACTGAATTCGTCATTTATCTTTTTCATGAATTTTCTTCCGACCTCACGTGCCGACACTTATGTGGTGTCAGCTAGGATATTGCTTTATTTGTTGCCGAATCCATACACATATACGACACATAATTGTATATTCGTTCACATATACATACATACTAGAGATGGGTAACTCACTCCGAAGTTATCACACCGATACAACTCCTCCCTCGGAGTGAATCCGAGTGGAGTTATCTTACAGGATTTGTCATATTCGACTTCTCTAATCTGGTACTAAATCTGTTAACACGTGCAGATATTTGTTTGAATGTTTTTACTAATACGAGTTTAGATTTGAGTCAAAAGAAGTGGTCTTTTTCTCGTTCCACAGTCAGTTTCAGGACTTTCTAGGTATATAATGTCTCAAAATAATGCTATTATATATTCTATATTCTGTATACAAAAATGTTTGTTCGTAAATGAGCTCCTTCAATGGTATACCAACTAAAAATATCTAGTATTATATTATAACTTTTATACAATTATGAGTTTATAATTGTGTAAAAGTAATAGTAACTACCTAATGTATAATTAATTTTCGAAAAGGAAATAATAAAAGAATGTGAGATATTATTATTTTGTGAAAAATATTATACACAAAGATTTGTTTTTAATTCATATATAAGGTTCACTGCATTATTTTCATATAAAAATAAACATATTTAAAGAATTCAATATTTTCTATTAAAAATAATTACAAAATTGATTTTTATTCCGAAGTTTTTTGTCAATTTGAGATTTGTATGCATATTGAAATGCATAAAATAATGATTATTATAATAAAATGAATAAAAATGTTTGAAATATTTGTTAACTATTTCCAAAGTCTTAATAAATCCTTAGATATGTTAACAACACACTAGAGAAAACATTTATGTCAAGTATTATGTATCAAAGTTGTCGCAACCTGTGTAACCTGGAGTTGTTAAGCGGATATAACTCTTCCCTGAAGCGGAGTCAAATCCTAACAGATCTGGCTTCGGATATGATAAGCCATCTACAATACATACATACATTTTTTTAGTATGAAAAATTACTAACTGATTGTAAAGTATGTGGTATATAAGTGAAAGAGGCAGCTAACACAAATTAAATGAATTGTTACCTCACTGCAATCCATGCCTCATATAAAGATTCTCGGGGCATATTAACATTCATTGCAAGTGCCAGTCTAATCTGAAATTTCATTTAAATTATATTGGCATACTTGAATATTCAGAGTTTTTATAATATATTAGCGTACTTTTTATTAATTAAGCTTTTTTTTAATTACGAAGCAGAATCCGAACCATCCGAACATTCATTTCCGAATTATATCGTAGCAAGTCTAGTGAATCAAATGGGATTTCAAAAACTGTGAGAAATATATTATGGTTTTTCCTTGTATCTTCATATTACAATGTTTTCGCTTTTTCTGCAAGCTATTCATTCATGAACAGTATATGTGCACATAGGGATCTTTGTACAATGCGATAGTCTTGTAAATCAGATTTTGCAAGAATCTGATCCAAATTTTGGCGCATCTAGTTTTATCGATGTTAAGAGGTTAATTGGCTTTCCGTCGCCAATACTTAAGAATTGTTTTGGAAATGATGCAGTGCATAAAGAGGATAAATTTAAGCTTTTCAATAAGCTCAGAAAAATCTTGATAAAAGTTTATTGAAAGACATTCACAAAAAGGACAATAATATCTGTTATTAAAGTAGAAAAATGATAATAAAATGACTATTATAAAATAAGAATTTATGGTAGGAGGGTTATTGAAAAGTTTAGAGTAAAATAATGAAAGCTTAAAAATGACTTTTGCTAGAACACTTAGCTCAATTTACCTAAAAAATATTCTAATCTAAGGACGAGTCACCATTCAAGAAATAGAAACATAAAAATGAATGCTATAATTGGATTTAGTAACCAAATGTAATAAAATCATATAACTAATCACGTATTCTGGTTTATTAAAATTATTGAAGTAAAACTTCTTTAGGCGCAACTACGGTGAAAATAAAAAATACGGTGAAAATAGAGTTACGCCCAAACTATACGTCATTAGCTTTCGATGAAATCATTTCTATACGGATCGATTGTGATTAGTCGTCGGTTATGTGAATGGAGATTTGTCGTTGTATGCGTACCGGCATCAACGTTGTATGCGTATCGATATCAACAAATAAATCGGCATAGATAAATAAACATTTTAAAATTACATCGTAGTACAAATCTTGATTTAATGAAAAATGCCTGAATCAGAAGAATATTTTACCCTGTTCCTTGAAAATAATAAAACAAAGTAAACGTAAGTTTATTGATTAGAATTTATTTCTATATTATTCGTAGTTTCTATAAATCTTTGGAATTAATATTTTTAGGCAAGACAGATATTACAGCTGTTCAAAGAATGAGATTATATCTCCAGCGAAAAAGTAAAAAAATACAAGCAGTCAATTAATGTATGTTAATTTTTGAAGTTCTTCAAACAAAGTTACATGATGAGTAAAGTTGAAAATAATATTTGTTTAGACGTCGTTTAACATAATCCACTGCGTCAACGATTATAGAATTTATTAATGAGCAATTACTTCATTGTTCTAATGAAGGTTCATTTCTAAATGCTAATTACAATGACAAACCGATCATGTCATATTTATAGTATGACTAATTACATTATTGTTTTTAAATATTATACATATTTTTAATGCTATTATAAATATATAATTTATAATTTATCATTATATAAATGTGTATAATGGTTGACACTAATAAATATGTGCATCACGAGTGTTACCATATTACTAATAAACATTATTCAAAATTGTTATATGATGTATTTATTTTTCTTAAATGCCATCTTAAGTAGCAAATAAGTTTTACTTCAATCGCCTGTGAACCTTACGCGCACTCTTCTTTATTTTTGTCACATCTTAATTGGTCATAATTCCAATACTTTAAAAAAATCAAGATCATCGAAAATTGTTAATAAACTCTTTATTTTTAGACATGAGAAATTCATAAACTTGCCTTGAAGCTTTAACCTTTTCCACTCGAATGCCGCCGCTCCAAAATTCATATAAATCGGAATTCGCTAGTGGAAAGGGTTAATTCATATTTTCTTGAGTTTGATAATAATTTTCAAAAGCAAACAATTCAAATACATTGTCATCTAAATTAATTCAGGTTCAACAAGTGATAAATCAACAAACTAACGTATCGATATCCTTGCAGCTGTACCTGACATCGAACGTGAGTCAGGCCGACTACAACATGGGATACTGCATGACCGGCACCCTGGAGCGCGGCAGCGAGGAAACGAACCATTTCCAGACGACGCACTTCGCAGTGATTCGAAGGAGGATAGGAAACGAAAAAGAGTGCACTCGGAAATCATGATAGATATGAATTAAAAAAATGAGAAAAATAATATCAAACAAACCTAAAAAAAACAAACAATTATACGTAAGTTAATATACATATATGAAATCGATTTAAGTTGTGATATCAGAACATTGTAATTATAGGCAGAGGGGTGTCCGCAATAAAACTCGAGAAATCTGTTGTTTAACTAATTGACTCGCACAGTAATTAAAAAAAAATATGCGCAAAACGCCTGATCGCATAGCAAATTCATAGCATTTTGACAGTCTTTACCATATGAATATATCATATTGCAATATTGTCTTAGGTCTTTTACTACCAATTTATATGAAGGAAGAACCGTAACATAGCGTTGCCATAACAACGATATGTCACGGTCTATTTTACCGTGAAAATTGACCAAATTATTGTTAAAAACTATTTCTAGTGCATAGTTTTCACCAAACTTCAAGAAACACGTTAATCGCTATAATAATATCAGAAAAAAATAACAGGGCTATGATAACTATACATGCATACTTTTTTTCTCGACAAGCTTTGTCAGTTTTATATGTAAGCCAAGGAATCTGCAAGTTCTTTCGAAACACACTGCAATTGTAACTTCTACTTCATTTTCTACTAAATCGCGTCGAACATATATGTCAAACATGGCTCATGAAGAACTTTTTGGCGTCAGACATATATGACTGACATGCCAATTAACGTATTGGAATCAATGAAATATTTTATTTATGAAACGTAATTCGTAGTTGGCAACCTTGTAAAGATTGCAATCTACGAGTTATGTCAACCAAATAATGAGGCAGTCAACCTAATAATGAAGAACATTTTTTTAGTCAAATTTGGTAATGTTTGATTTGGGCATATCTGATTCTGGTAACTGATACATCTGACATATAAATTCATATCTTAACGTAAATATAAATATAAATATATATATATATATATATATATATTAAGCGTTGTAAAATTCAAAAACAATGTACCACAATCAGTTAAATAGAGTGAAATATTAGAATACTTAATATGAATATGATTGTCACGGTAATTTATTGGGATTTTGTAAAATAATGATTTATTGTACATTTTTAAGTGATCAATATTTTTAATATGGTATTAGATAATATATTAAATAATAATTTTAAAAAAAAAACTTTACTGTATTGTTATTGCAAATAAATTTGCGTAATTTTACACTGTTTTTAGTAAAATTTATTTGCAGTAATAATACAATAAGAGTTAAAGTAATTAAACACATAAATCGTCATGTCAATCACATATGTCTGACACTATGAAAAATTACATGAGCGATGTCAGGCATAAAATGTCTGATATACGCGATTTGGTAGAAGGAGAAAAACAGTTTTACTATAAGACTATGTTCATGTATGACGAAAGTTTTTCCATGCATTTTAGCAAAAATAAAAAAAAAATCTCTGAAACATTAAGATTTATTGATACATTTTCAAATATATTATCTTATAAAGTTACCATATAAATTTTTTCTGGTATTAGCGTGGCGGGTAACGTGTTAATGTATTATTTAGATACATCATCAAAAAGATTCAAATTCTGAAAGGATTTGGTAATTTAACCAAAAAAAACCTTTACAGTTATAATACCCAAATTTAAAAATGGCAACTTATCGAAAATATAATTAATATAATATAATCATTTTTTGCCGAAAAAAAAAACATTTACATTAAAGAAATAAAAATGTCAAGAAATAAGTTATCAAATTGCTCGATGAAGATATAGTTGTTATATAACGTATAGACTATTGTTATAAAACAAATGCCTATTGTCAATTGAAACTCAGTTTATATGTAAAGCAGTATTTTCAAATTTACGAAGACTTGTAAATGGTTATATAAAGTTGAGTTTTTAGAGCTATATGCAAACAAGTATATAATTCGAAAATATTCAGTCAAAATTTAAGGGCCGATTCTGCCGTAAAATGTTAGCACCATTTTATATAAAAAAAATGCTACGTAACATGGCCTTGCCATAACATTAGTCTAGTTTACGGCAGAATTGTTGGTCTCTTAGTTTGCGTTTTGGAGTAGAATTGTAAATTTCTCATTTATAACGGACACCACTTTGCCTATAACATACAAAATGTTTTTTGTTGTAAAGTTATATAAATAAGTTACAAATAGTTAACTATTATTTTTAAAAATTCTTAGTATTAATTAAATGTTTTTAAAATTAAAACAAGTGTTATTACTATAATTTCCTTGTGGAATTATAATTGAGAAACACTTTAACTATGCTCATTTGGAATCAGTATTATAATAAGCTATATTAAGATATATTTCAGATTATATTATATATATACGTCCAAGATGTAGCCCTCCATATATAAAATCAAGATCTCAAAGCAGTGTAACAGTAAATTAATAATGCATTTGATCAAGCTTGATGTTATTCGATGCACAATAATGTTGACTGTTTTAATGTAATAAGGAACATTTTAAATGATTAGTCCTAATACCTAGATTCATTTTGTAAAACCCAAATTCATTAGTTAAGTACTTATTTTTAGGACTATTCATTACAATAGTTTCTATAAACAATATTATAAATTTATTGTTTGTTAATATTAAGTTTAGCAAAAATTTTGTTTACGTTTCATGCTTATTGTTAATGTTAAAAAACTTGTTTCGATTGTTGATTTTGTTAATGTTATATTATTGATTAAAGTTATGAATATTTGCAAGGCATACGTTATATTAATAAGTTAACAGCAAGTCTATATGAACTGCTAATATCGATTGTTATTGACAATTTCACAATAAGTGGGTATTATTTAACAATACTAATTTATATTAAATTTATTATTACTGTAAAATGGCAAAGGGACATCTTTCCCCGAATCGAGTAGGATAACTCATTTTTCCATTTATTAAAAAAGAAAGTAACGCTAAATAACGTATCATTATAACATATTACTTGTAAGAAGTGTTCAATAATCTTAAAATGCAGATCAAAATCTACATAAAATTACTTGTAAATGGTGATCCACGTACTGAAGTGTTTTAGTCTTGCAATTATACGATTTTTTTTGTGCTAAAATACAATGATAGACATGTAGCAAAATTACAAGTACTATAATTGTGGGAAATACTGATTAAGTTATTTAAACAAAATTACTTCTGAACACATTCACTGCTCCCGCACGCATATGTTGCGTGAGACCGTTGTCAATAGCCAGGCGCCAAACGCACCAGATGCGTTTGCTTTCTGTTGCCATAGTGTTTTTAGTAAAATAAAATGATTAAATCGAAATTTTATACTGCAATTATTTCAAATTAAAGGAGCCATATTTATTCTATACTGATACTTTTTTTAATTTCCAGCTAACTTGTCTAAAAATGGATTTATTTGATATTATATAAAGTTTAGCATATGGTGAAGTATAAGCAACACAAGTTTAGCAGTGAATGTGTTAATTTCGTGAAATGTTTTAGTATTGCATAACGTATGCCTTTATAAATATTGGACCTTGATCATTTCAAAAAGCCCGGTGCGTGTACGTAATTTTTTAAAGTTTATGTTTAGATGTTAATTAAGTATTAAAGTTTCTAATAACTGATTCTTCATCTAAATTAAAGAGTCTTAAATATATGTTGTCCGAATAAAAAAGCAATAATTCATATTTTTTATATTTCCAAAATATTTCCTTCAATTCAATAACAAGATATTTGTAATTTTATATGCAACATGTATTTACATATAATATACTAATTTATTATTTCATCGCAATAGATTTGCTTTACAACTGGACAATCGCCAAATTCATTTCTAAATGTTTCGAATGACATTTACATTTCATCACCGTTTCTTTATCTCCCATATGAAAAATATGAATTTTTGTTAAAACTTGTAAAATATATATGAACTATTCCTATGTATATTTCCAATGTTAGTAATGTAAGCGCTGCGTAATTAAGGACAGTATTAATTACATATAATACAACATATTATTTTTCAAATGAATATAATATTTGCGGAATAATAAATATTTTGTCAAATTATCTAGTCTGGTAACATAACACGCATACAAACGATTGCTCATGGATTTTTTATTGCTCAAAGCTATAGAATAAAATTGAAATGTAAATGAAGACAGTGTTTTATTAGTAAAAATTATTTATTGCAGCATCTTGTAAAATTTAACAATAATCGATGTAGTAAAGGGTCAACACTAGAACAAACTGTAATGAAGCCCCAACTACAATAAAACTATACATTTTTAAGCAAATTATATATAATTAAATTTAAAGCAACGATTTTCTATATATAAATGATAAAATCTGAATGAATAACATGCATACATACAAGTTCAACTTATTTATAATTTGTTCACAGTTTTGTGTTTTTTTTTTAGATATATAGATTATAATATTTTAGTTTCTTGTTCATTATTGAAACTTTCTAAATTTCTCTAATATTTTTCATTTTTAATTCAGCACATTTGTGTCAAATAATTCAAATTTTCAAGATTTCAGTTCAAATGTTCATTTGTGATGTTTTTTTTTCAAGGATGAAACATTCTCTTATTGTTTGATTAAGTTATTTTTCACGGTGTAACTTTAGTAGTGTAGTATCAGTAGATAAATTTCAGCTATATTTATCACGATTACAATATGATAGTTTATAAAATAATTAGTGCTGAAAACTGTTTTCCGTATATTGTTTTAGAAATATTTTGAACTTGAAAAAATCTCAAATTTCTTTGTCTAAACCTGACACTACACATGTTCAACGAATGCTTTAATTAGGCAATAAACCAATGATTCCTGAAATAGTCCACAAGGACCCCCAAAGGTCCATGACACTATTTAGGAGGTCCAAGTCAAAAGAAGAAAAATCGGGATATACGAATTGAAAATGGGGATCCACAGTATGATGCACTACATTACTATCTATTGACTATATTAAAATGGAAAGTAAAATGCAATATTTATAAATAGAACTAAAAAGTATTTTTCTGAAGTAAAACTTCTTAAGGC